TCTTCTGACGGTCTTCCTGGTTCTGCTGATCTACACTATGCCTGGATACATTAGTGAGAGGATCATCAATGGATAAGTGCTCTGCAGAGCAGGACTAAACAAAAACAGGGGTGATTATTGCAGTAAATGAGGTCACACCAGGAAGTTTAAGGAAACCCTACAAATGCATGGGCAATCTGGAGAGTGAGAGGCCAGGCCCTCTTTGGAGAGTCATGTCTCTTGCTAAGTACCCATGGGATGCTAAAGAATCAAGTATTCAACCTACTAAATTGGAGCACGCTGCCCAGGAAAGTGTGGAGTCACTGTCCATTCATGTTTTCAAGAAGAGTTTAGATGTGGCTCTGAGGAATGTGGTTTAGTGGGCATGGTGGGGATTGGCTGGGGTTGGACTAGATGATCTTTGTGGTCTTTTCTAGCTTTAATGATTCTATGATTCTAAATAAAGCAAACTCCTTCAAAGACAGTTACAGCTGCGGGAAAAAGTAGTTCTTTGTTAACTGGGTGGTTGGAGGGGAAGGAACACAACTGCAGACATGGCAGCAGGAGCCAGCTCTTGCCATTGAGAGGTTGCTCTGGAAGGGATGGGAACCTATAGAGCTGTCTATGTCCTATCTGGACAGTAGCTGGCACTTCCCAGGTCTTCTCCTGCCTGTAGAATTCAGAGCACATTGTGTGGGAGAGGGCAGGTCTGGTGCTGGGACCCAGTGGGGGTGGGACCAGGTGTATGGGCTTCCCAGGGTGCTGCTGCAGCTGGAGGGTGGAGGAGAGGAGAGTGGTGATAGAGCCAAGGTAACTGTGTGCTTCCTGATGCTCCAAGAGCATGGGAGCAGCAGGGCAGCTCTGGATGTGGTAGCACTCAATGCAGTCTTCGTAAGCTACTAACAGCATTTCTTGCATGTGCAGGGCTGGATATCAGGCTCGCTTAACTTCATTTTGGATCTTCATTTCTACCGGAATAGAATCACAGAATCACAGAGCAGTTTGAGTTGGAAGGAACCTTGAAGACCCTCTGGTTCCAGCTCAATTCCTATAAAATCTCCCTGGCTGCTCTCTCTGACATCCCTGGGGATTCCTCGCTGCTCCTGGAACAGGCCACTCTGCTGCAGGCAGCCCTCCCCAGTGCACCTCTGCCCTTCCTCTGGGTAGCACAGAGCTGGGATGTCAGCATGGGGCCATCAGCATGCATCTGCATCATGGTGTTGGACTGATGTAAATTGAAGCAGACAGGTTCTCAGCGCGGGCTCCAGTGCCCCAGGGTTTCTGTTGCCTGCACAAATGCTGCTGAGACAAGATCATGACTGGATTGCAAGTCAAGGTGCACCACTGGAAGGTTTGGTGGGAAGGGTTGTCTGCATTGCAGGAGATAGTGCTCAGAGTGGCATTGTCAGTGAAACTAGATGGCGGTGGGGTAGGGTTAGCTCCAGAATGGCAAAGGGAGCAGCCTCTTCCCACCCTTGCAGATCCCTGGGCTACAAGGGAGCAAGCAGGCTGCAAGGCCCCCTCCCCCCCAACTCACACTGCACCACTGCTCCTCATGCAGCCTCAGCCCACTCTCAGCAGGGACTGCACACTGCCGTATGGGTGGCACCCGACGCACCCCAGCATGCACAGTGCATCCCAGCACACTCTGTAAGACATTGGTGCCTGCTGTACCCAGCACACGTGGTGCACACCAGCAGCGTGCTCCAGCAGTTACCAGTTCACTCTGCACATCTGATGCATCCCAGCAGTGCCTGGGCCACCCAGTGCACCCCAGCACATCACATGCACACCCCCAAGCAGCACCTCGGCTCTTACAACCACTTCAGCTGCACTCTCCCCTGCCCCCCCAGGCTGAGGCTCCCCATAACCCAGAAGGAAGCATCTGCCTCAGCCTTCCTAAAAGCGTTTTGGCTCAGGATCACAGGATTTGCAGCTGTGCCTCTCTGTGCGTGCAGTGGTGTGAAAGGTGAGGGGCTCCCACTGGCAGCAGCATGCCCCCACCCCCTCCCTGTCCCCCTGTCCAGCCCCAGAGCGCCTGCAGTTCCCCTTTCTGGCTCAGTCTCTCTGCAGCACCATGGCAGCACCCATCTCGGTGTGTGACTTTGTGCAGCAGGTGCAGGAGGACCTCAGCTCACCCACCACCTCCACCTTCACCAGCCACATGGCCCGCTGTAAGGCCACTGCCGGCAGCATGGAGGAGGTGAGCAGGGCATGGGGCGGGGATTGGCACCCCAGGGGCAGCCTTCTCCCTGGCAGTCCTGTGGGATCTGCACTCATACGGGTGTCACTGTGGTGGCTCTTATTGCGTGGTGCTGGTGTGTGGTGCAGAGCGCCCAAAGCGAAGGTTTGGGTGTGCTGAGTGGGTGATGGGTATCTGCGGGTGGGGGCAGACACAAAGTGCAGGCTGTGGGAGGGCTGCATCTCATGCCTGGCTCGTGGTGAAGGAGGATGGAGTGCTTTGGCCCGTGAAACGTCGCCCTAAAAGCGAACAGAGGTAAGAGCAGTGCTTGGAGTGGTGGGAGGGTTACCTCACTTGCCCAAAGTTGAATTGTGTGATACGCCAACTAGGAACTTTGGCAGCCGAACACACGGGCAGTTCAAAAAATCCACAGAGAAGGGATCAGAGCCAACTACTGAGTCAGCTCCCAATTCAAAGCCCCCTGGGGCCAGATGCCTTTGCTTCCTGACCCTGGCACACAGCAACAGGTGCCACGTGGAGGGGAAGCAGCTCTGGGAAACCCATGGACAAGGGCAGGAGTGGCTCTCATGACTTTGCAGTTCCAGCAGACACGGGGATGGTGCCCTGGGCTTTGCTGGGGTCTGTTTGTGGGCTGTGAGCACTGCGCTGCCACAAAGCCCCCCAGCACCTGGGGTCTGCCATCTCTGCCCAAAGACGGGGCAGCCCCTCTGCTCCCATTGTCTGCAGTGGTCTCTGAGGCTTTTCTATCAGCATTCTGCAGGACAGAATGTGCTCAGGAGCCCTGGGCATGGGGCAATTTCCTTGTGTTGCTTAATTTGTGACTATTACTCCATTATACCTACCCAAAACAAAACTCAAAACTCCACTCCTTTAAAACAGAGCTGCTTACATCAGGAAGCTGTGGTTAGAAAAAATGTACGCTGCAAAAACTGTTCCTTTCTGCAGAACCTTTGGCTTGGGACTCGTGACAGAGTGAACAGAAATGGCAGAGCATGGCTCTCACTGCAGAGTGACAGCAAGCAGGCTCTGCAGTGACAGGGCAAGAGCAGGCATGAGCTGGGCTGCAGTGGGACTTTATCTCCTCTTTGGCACTGCAGCCCTGGAGTGGCAATGGGGCTTTCCAATGAGTGGAAAGCCAAAAAATAATGCTGAAGGGCGTCCATTGCTGCCAGCACTCCTCAGGATCAGCCCTGGGACCAGCACTGCTCCATCCATCCCTCATGGGGCCCTGTCCCCAAGCTGAAAAAAGGGGAATTTGGTGTGTCATGTGAACTGCCAGTGTGCATGGCCAAAAGGTGAATTGAATGCTCTGTCTCTGTCCTCATCAGACCCAGTGAGGCTCTTTCTGGAGCCCACTCAGTCCCACAGGGGCTCCAGTCTCACACGAGGCTGTCCTGCAAGTGTGAAAGTCATGACTGTGGATGGGTGGTCACTCTCAAACTGGGCCTTCCTCGTGAGAAGGATGTGAGCATAAGGACAGAGCTGAAGGGGTTGCAGCCACAGGGTTTGGGGCCCTGGTCTCACTTTGGAAAAGCAGAATTGCCCCCTTTTGTGGTTCCTGAAATGCTTCAGTGAGCAGCTGTTACCAGGGATGTGGGGAAAGTTGTACAGCAAAGCCCTGGTGTGCAACTTGCTGTTGGATGCATGCTGCTGGGATCAGCCCCAGCACAGCATAAAGCAGCACATGCAGCACGGTGGGCATGCAATGAAGTCACACAGCTGAGCCCAGAAAACAACCAGAGCTCTGCCTTCAAGGAGAATGAATGAACACAAGTGACAGTGCAGGCAGGGAAGGGAGCTGGGGTTTCCTGCGCCAAGCACCAGGTCTGTGATCTCTGCCTCGTGGTTGGCAACATATCCACGTGTGTGTCAGACAGAGCACAGGTCTTTGGAGGCAGTGCTGCTTCTTGGAGCTGGGCACACAGAATGGTGGGAACCCAGGGGTGGAGGCAGCTTTGGCGATGGCCATGGGGATGTCACATCCCCATCTCATGCTGGAGCTGCTCCTCCAAAGCTTCCAGTTTAATGCACTCTGGATAATTCAGTGTTTATGGTGAAGAGCCTCAGATGCCACAGTCCTGGCTGTGCTGATCCCCACAGAACCAGACAAACACCCTCTTCTGCTGCAGTGTTTCAGCTGCATGCCTTGGCTGATGTGGTTCACAACAAGGACAAGGTCAGCAGTGGTATCAGCCCCTCCTGTTGCTGAACAGCCCTTCTTCTGAAATACTTTCCAATTCTCTCCTACAGCTTGGTCACCTCTTCCAGAAGGCCATCAGGAAAGCTTGCTGTTATTTAAGATTCTCACAGACTGCTGCCATTTAGACCATCACCTACCTGATGGCAGAACAGTCTGGCCTGGGGATGTTGAGGCTTGGGCTGAGCTCTGCAGGTTACAGAAATGTGCCTAAGGGTGCTGTCAGTGATAACCTCTGCATTTCTAGGCCTTGGATGCAGACCGAGCTGTGCTGCAGAAGATGAGAAAAGCTGCCAAGGCAGAGCATGGCTGTGGACAAGGTCAGGACGGAATGGGGCCTGGGGAGGGAGAGGCAGCAATGGAAGGTCAAGGGGAGTCCTTGCTACAGATTGGGTTGATTGCAGCAGGGAATCTGTGTCCTAGGAGTTTTTATAGCAGGGTGGGGGGTGTGCAGCGGGCTCCAGTGCTAGAGCAGAGCTGGGCTCCTGGCAGTGAGTTTATCCTGGCTGTCCCCCTGCACTCTCTGGAGACCACCCGTGTTCCTCAGACCTCATCAGCCACCTCGCAGCCCACATTGCCGCCCAGGAGTTGTTCTCAGCCAACTACCAGCTGGAGGGAGAGCAGCAGCTGGCTAACGCCTTCAGCACCTTCGCAGCCTTCACTCAGGAGCTGCTGATTGCCGTCAGGAGCCTGGTAGGCAGCCCGTCCCCTGTGCATCCCCTGCAGGCCCCTGGGTCACAGTGGGGTGGGCGGTCCCCAGGAACGGGCTTTGGTGCATAGCTGGAGGTCCAAGCTCAGCCCTTTCCTGGACCAAGGCAGGAGCAGTGGCAGAAGCAGTGATGACAGACAGCTTGAGGCTGAAGACAACAGCCACATCAGACATGGCATCTGCAGCATGAGGAGGATGGATGCCCCCATCCCATGCACGTTGTACCAGCAGGGAAATGGGTGATCCCAGGAGTCCTGTCCTTGTGTCTGAGCGAGGTTATAGTGATAGCAGGGCCAAGGAGCCATTCCTGCACCACTTTCCAGAGGCTCATTATGAGTTGGGATACCTCTCAAGCTCTACAGAAACATCTACAAGACTTTTCAGGGGACACAAAACTGCTGTGGGTACATTTGCCTAAATCTGGCCCTTCTCTCGTGCTGAAACAACAAGGGGTTAGGAAGGATCTGGGAGAGCCTTGGGGCTCACAGAAGATCTGGCTGCAAGGGCACAGTCTCCAGTCCAGTGCCCTGCTTGTAGCCACAACCCTACCATTGGCTCAGGCTGGCTGTGGCTTTTTCTAGCTTGCTCATCTCCAAGGTTGGAGGCTCCCAGCTGCCTGTTTTCTAAGAGGTTCCTTCTGTTGGTTTACGAGCAGCTGCTGAAGCACAGTGATAACACACACTGAACACACTGATAACACGTTTTGGTGGCTTGGGTGTAGGTATTAGCAGGAAGAAAGAGCTCTGTTGCAAACAGTTCTTGATCCCCAGACACTTTTCCTGCCCTGCATTTCCCCATTCCTTGCTCAGCACCAGCAAAAGCTTGTCTCCCTCATGCAGGGCCAGGAGTGGAATATTTCAAGTCACAGAGCTGGGGGCTCCACTCAATTTCCAGGAGCTCTCATGCTATTCCTGACCACTGTGGGTGATGCCAGCTACTTGATCTCTCTCTTTCCTTTCCAGTTGCAGAGTTTGGACCACAACATTAATTTTTCCCTGGAGTCCTTGATAAAGGGAGACATGAAAGAGATCAAAGGGGTGAGCAAAGCTGATGGGGCTGTGGAGCTGGTGCTGAGCACAGAGCAGAGAAGTGCTTCTTTTAAAGCAGTTCTTCTTTTAGAGTTTTACACTTGTCTGAGATAGTATTTTTCCTGATTTAGGCAGCCCTAAATTGGCTGCTGGTGTTCAATAGGAGCATGAATATGGAAAGAGAAAAAATTCTGGAACTTCTTAGCATATAGTAAGGTGGCGAAAGAATACAAAATGTGAAGAAAATACATCTGCATTTTGCATTAAGGGCAATGTCAAGAAGATTGGGGACCCAGAAAATCAGTTAGAAAGAGAGGGAAAAAACAGCTGCTGGCAACGAGCTGTGATTAAGCAGAATGCATTTTTAATGGGGTCCAACAGGGATCACAGCCCGACCTGAATCTGTTTGACATCTTCATGAGAATGAAGATAAATGCAAGATCTGTTCTGACAAGGTTCTGCCATGATGCAATAAAGCAATTTTACTGCAAGGGACACAGAAGCACTGGGACCCAGAGAGGCCATGGGATTTCTAACCATGGGAGTTTTTGACATCTGCCTGGACAAACTTGGTCCTGGTTCAGTGCTGCCCCTGCCTGGAGCAGCAGGTTGGGATGGATACCTCCAGGAGCCCCCTCCAACCAGATTTACCCTGTCTTTCTATGAGACAGAGGTCTGTAGAGCAGTAAGCAGTGAGAATGGAGCAGAACATTGGTGTTTGTGCAAATGATTTTGATGGTCAAATGCAGGTGTATATGGTAAGATTATGGGGAGAAGATAAAGTCACCCAAAGTCAGATGGGAAAAGAAAAATGGCCTTGTAGAAGTAAAAACAGTTCTCTATTACATGAGTACCCGGGGACAGCCATGTTCTGGAGCTGTGATGGCCTTGCTGGTTGGACTGGAAGAACTTGCTGGTCTTTTCCAACCTTGGTGACTCTGTGACAGTATGACTCGAGGGTGACCCTGTGGGAAAGTGGTATGATGAGGCTGAGGAAGGGTCGGTCTTGGTCATAATCATCAGTCACTGTGCCTTTGGCTCTTCCTAGGAGTTCAAGAAGCCCCTTGAGAAGGCCTACAAAGACTATGAGAGCAAACTGTAAGTTGTCTGGCTCCCTCACCCTGAAACCTGGGTCTGGGGGCTCTTTTCTGGCTGCCTCCAGCAGACGTCAGTCGGTTGGAGCCTTTCAGGTGTCTGTCCTCTCTCCTCGAGCACAAAGATAGAGAAGGAGAAGCGCGAGCTGGCGAAGCAGCACGGCATGGTGAGGGGTGAGGTGAGCGGGGGGGAGATCGCCGAGGAGATGGAGAAGGAGCGCAGGAGCTTCCAGTTAAACATGTGTGAGGTAAGGACAGGGACAGGGCAGGCGGCATCAGCCAGGCCATGGCGTGGGCCCCACACATCTGCCCAGCTCCTTCCTGTCCCAGCCCTTTGAGGTCTGCCTGGCCAGAGAGCTGCCTGCATTGCAGTAGACCCAATTTGGGATAGGAGCTCAAAGAGTTTAGATGAAGAACGTACTCTACTAACCTGGCAGTAGAGATACAGTTGCACCCATTATGAGTCCAGCATTCCATTTGCCAGACCAAAGCGCTGGCGTTCATGGGCTCTGCCTGCCACCAACTTCTCACCCTATAAAAGCCACATGAGCTGCTACCATTATGGCACGACCAACATGAAGAACCACAACACACTGCTCTTCACTGTTAATGGGAGGGAGGACAACATGAAAAAAAGTGCGTAAGGGACATTTTTCCCAAAGCTGCACCTTCAGTTCCTGTGTCCTTTTCCCTTCAGTATCTAATCAAAGTGAATGAGATCAAAACCAAGAAAGGGATCGACCTGCTGCAAAACCACATCAAGCACTGCAACACACAGTTCAAGTAAGATGACTGGCAACCTGCCTTCACTGCCCTTCACTCCACAAGTGCTGGTTTTAGAGACAGTCTGGGAGTGGTTTAGTTTGCAGGACCTAGAGATCTTGCAGCTTACTTGGCCTGTAGTCTAATATGACAAAAATCTTCTCCTGGAGGTAATGGAGCCAAGGATCTCAGTGGAGTGTATTATCTGGTAAAGGTTCTGGAGCACAAGTCCTGTGAGGAACGGCTGAGGGAGTTGGGATTATTTAGTGTGGAGAAGAAGAGGCTCAGGGGAGACCTTATTGCTCTCTACAGCTACCTGAAAGGAGGTTGGGTGGGGTGGGGGTCAGCCTCTGCTCCTAGGTAACAGTGACAGGACAAGGGACAATGACCTTAAGTTGTGCCAGGAGAGGTTCAGGTTGGGGAGAATTTATTCTCTGAAATAGTGGTGATGCATTGGCACAGGGAGGTGTTGGTGTCACCATCCCTGGAGGTCTTCAAGATGGAGATGTGGCATTTAGGGACACGGTTAGTGAGCAGGGGGGGATGGATTGATGGCTGGACTAGATGATCTTAAAGGGCTTTTTCAACCTTAATCATTCTCTGATTATCTCTTCAGTTTAACATTCTCATTAGACAGCATAAAGAAGATAGCAAGGAATGGCCACTGAAATCTAAGTTATGAAGAAAACAGACTTATGAGCCCTGAACTTTTCTTAAAGTCTCCACTTTTTCTTACAGTCTATATCCTAAGAAATTCTTTGGTGACTATGAAACAGAAATGCTGTCTGCTGAAGGTGTTGATGAGCCAGCAGCTTAGAAGAGCCCAGTGTGGCTCAGCACAATGAGCAGGACTTCAGGATGTGTTCTGACACCAGCCTCTCCTCTCAGTTTTTTCCAGGAATGTTTGAACACAACAGCAAAACTTAAGAAGTTCACAGAGGAGCTCATCCCGGAGCTGCAGAGCGTGAGTACTCACGTGAAGCAGGGTGTGCTGAGGGGAGCAGGGTGCAGAGCAGGGATGTCTGCCCCAGGGCTGTCTCTCCCTCTGCAAAAGCAGATCTGCAGACTTCTGCATCAGTTGATCGTGGTTTCCTGAGCCTCTGATGCGCAATGATCCTTGAGGGGAAGGTTACGGTGTAATACCCTAGGGCACAGAATGGGAAGGAGCATGGCAATGGATACCAGAGGCATTAACACGTTCAATTCTCACTGTCCCAGCTGCTCCTCAGGCTTTCAGGCTTCTGCTCCTGGCTTTCCCTGCCCACTGCTGCCAACTGGAGCTCTTCACACTCTTCCTTGGGGGCTTTGCCTCTCTGCAGAGCTGTTCTCAGGAGCTGTGACCTTCCACTTTTTTTACTATGGGCTCTTGTGGTTATACATTGCCTGGAGACAGAAAGATGTTTTTCAAAACAGCAAAGCTGCTGTGGAACTTCAGAACCAGGCTGACCTCTGGTGGTGCCAAGTCCCCCGTTCTCTGTAGAAGATCTTTCCCAGCATTTTCAGACCTCAGATCCAGGTTGCTCGGCCTCTGTCCTTCGCTATATCCCTTGTCTTCTGCAGAGGCCTGGAATGTGAACCAGGTTGGATGCTAGGAAAAATGTATTCTCTGAACAGAATGGTGATGCATTGGCACAGCCTGTCCAGGGTGGTGGTAATAACAGCAAAAAGAGAATGCGTGTTGCCCTGGCGTGGGGTAACAGTGCACAGTATCTTCCTGACCCCTCATGCAAACTCCTTCCATCCCCAAGTTCCTTTGGGGCCACACTCCTGCACCAAGACACCCAGTGGAAATCAACTTTTTGTTGGCTTGGAGACCTTTAAATTACTGACAGTACCAAACTGGAGGAAAAAAATCCCAAACAACTGCAGTGACCTTCAAGCTGCTGGCTGTTTTTACATCACAGAGAACTGCAAACAGCTGTTTTTTTTCCTCCAATAAATAGCATGGTGGCTAAATGGCATGCTGCTCTGCCACCTCCCACTCAGGGCTCCACGTCCCACGGGCCCATGGAGGTGGTGAGGGCTGTGGGGTGTGGGGGGGGCCTCAGCTTCCGTGGGGCAGGCATGCAGCAATCTCCTCCTCCCCACGATGTGCTCTCTGTGCCCTGCAGCTGAAAGTCAGGCAGGATGAGGAGAAGAAGCAGCTGTGTGCCCTTCGGGATCAGCTGAAGGCAGCGTTGCAGCTGGAGCAGAGAGAGGTAAGAGCAGATTCTTCTTCCCAGCGCGCTGTTGGCCCCATCCTGCATGGAGCAACCTCTGTCCCAGTTGCTGTTACTGCCAGCTGCTGCCATCCCTCTGCTTGCAGGACGTGGGGAGCAAGCAGGCCCGGTACAACATGCATCAGCTGCAGGGGAACAAGCAGTACGGCACAGAGAAGACAGGGACTCTCTTTAAGAAAAGCGATGGGTGAGTTGGGATTCAGCGTGTCCCTGTCAGCTGTGCTTTGGTCACTCAGGGCCAGGGCAGGCTCACCCAGCCTGACCTCCTCTCCTGGGTTGGTGGCAAGGGCAGAGGAACAGGTTGAGGTGTGTGTGGCACCGTGGCAGCTGCCCATGGCCTCCCATGCAGAACTTCCTGGCTGAGGGTACTCCTATCCCATGGAGATGCCCAGTGCCCTCTGGACCTCTGCAAGTGCTCCTCATGGGTGGGACAAGGACTTCTATATAGGCTGGGCAGTGTTTTCTGCTCTGTTTCACTTCCTTTCCTCCAGCCTTGACCCTTCTTTGCCTTTCCACAGATCAGTGTTGGGCTCAGCTTCCTGCGGGAGATTTAGGGAAAGGAGTAGAAATGAGGGGTGGAGATGAGCATTGGAGATGGCATGGTGGGCCAGAGGAAAAAGCCAGCAGGGAGCTGGGGCTCCCCTTATGCTGCTTTGGACCTCGCCTATGCCCATGTCTGGCAGCCAGACTGTGAGCTCCTGGAAAGTACACTGCTGTCACTGGACAGGGGACCTTCCACCAGAGGAGCCTGTTTGCTGGGAATTGCAGGGGTCCTGCACTGGGAGGTGTGTGTGCCTGGAAAGGACCATCAACGGTCCTAGAAAAACAGGAAACCGGACAGAAAATCATGAACCAGAGCTCTGGAGTCTCCTTCATCACAGGCTGAAGTTCAGTTTCCCTTCCTTCTTTCCCTCACTTCTGTATGGTCTTCGAGGTGTTTGGAGCAGTTTGAAGATGACAGTTTTGGTTGTTTGCTGGGGACTCCAAGGTCTCAAAGGTCTGTGTGCTTCCCCAACAGGACCTGAGCCCCAAGCAATGCTCTGTGCCTACGTTGCCTCTGCAGCTGATGTGTGCTGCCTGTCTATACAAGCCCATCCTTATGCCATACAATGGGGTCCCATCAGACCATGAGTAACAGACTCTGGCAGCAGAGCCAGCATGTCGTCTTACATAGCTCTTGTACTCACTGGCATTGCTGCATGGATGATCTGCTCCTTTGCATGGCAGCCATGTGTCCTCTTGTATCACCCTCTGCTCACTTCCAGGTTGAGAAAAGTCTGGCAGAAGAGGAAGTGCACTGTCAGCAATGGCTACCTGACCATCTCTCACAGCGTGGTAGGAACTGCTTCTTCCAGCCCCTGCTATCTCTGCCTGGGATCTGCTGCCCACCCCTGTTGTCCCCCTGTTGCCCACCATGCTGGCAATTCTGGGATTCAGCAGAGCCCTTGTGCCTGGTGCTTGCACTGCTGTGCTGCTCCGCTGAGCCTGAAGTCTTTGCAATGTAAGAGACTAACATGGGAGCCCCCCACACCTGTGTGCACGGAGGGCAGCGAGCCTGGGGACCAGGGGATACCAGCATGGGATGGCTGTTGGGGAAAAAAGAGGTCCATGTAGCTATTTCTTGCATTGCTCCCAAAAGCAGAGCTAAGGATGAAGTGCTGGTGGTGATTGTCACTGCTGGGCCATCACCCTTTCATAGAATCATTTGAGTTGGAGGGGACCTTAAAAGGTCATCTGGTCCAATTCCCCTGCAATGAACAGGGACACCTGCAGCTCCATCAGGGTGCTCAGAGCCTTGTCCAGCCTTACCTTGGCTGTTCCAATGCTTTGATGCCATGAGGACTGAGACTTCCTTGTTCTCATAGTCCAACCGTCCTCCGGCCAAGTTGAACCTACTGACCTGCCAGGTGAAGCCAAACATGGATGACAAGAAATGCTTTGATCTGGTTTCACGTGAGTGCTGCCACTCCCCTGCTGCTCCTCTGGAAAGTGCACAGAACGGCTTTGGTGTTTTGGGTTTAGAAAGTGAGCATGGGCATGGAGGAAGCAAAGCTCTGTGGCTTTGTATTGGACTGGGAAGCAATGCTGTGGGGTAGCTCTGCTCCAAAGCAGTGGTGCACACTCAGGGCACAAGATGGGCACCACTGCAGCGTGGGCATAGTTCCCATGTATCAGCTTAGCCAAAAACAGGGTTCCTCTGCCTCACTCAGGAGCTTTGTCAGGGAAGCAGTGAGGAGGGGCTGGGTGGAATGAGGGGGCTGCCACCCTGCTGAGCCCAGCAGATGATTCACAGGGGGGCATGGCCGTGTCTGTTTCAGACAACCGCACGTACCGCTTCCTGGCAGAGGACGAGCAGGACTGTTTTGTGTAAGTACTGTTAGCAAAGGGCGGCTTGGTGGGAGTCAAAAAACATTCCTCTAGCTTCTGATGAGGAGCTAGCTCGTCGGCTAATTATGCAGCTCATTGCTGCCCTTGTTTGATCCCCTTTCCATCCCTGCTGTGTTATGATTGCTTTAGGGGCTGAGCAAGTCATGGAGGCTTCTGGTGCCCGTTTTCCTGCTGGCATCCAGTGCAGGGGCCTTGTGCTGAGGGGGAGGGGGGCCCATGCAAAGCCAGCCCCACACCTCTGGGCTCTCTCCTAAGCCACTTTCTGCCCTTGCAGATGGGTGTCTGTCCTCAGCAACAGCAAGGAGGAGGCACTGAACGTGGCCTTCAGCAAGGTGCAGGGTGGAGGGGAGAGCAGCAGGGAGGAGCTGACCCGGGCCATAGTTGAGGAGGTCAGAAACATGCCTGGAAACAGGGAGTGCTGTGACTGCTTGGCCCCAGGTGAGAACCAGCTGCTTGCCTCCCCTCCCTGCTCCAGCAGCTCTCTGCTGCGTGTCCTGCTGTGCCGCTTGTGCTCTGCGTGGTGGAGAGGACAAGAGGGAGATGGACGTGACCCCAGCAGTGTTGTATCTGCAGATCCCACCTGGCTCTCCATTAACCATGGCATCCTGATCTGCATTGAGTGCTCTGGGATTCACAGAGAGATGGGTGTGCACATCTCCCGCATCCAGTCACTGTCTTTGGACAAGCTGGCAACCTCCGAATTGCTGGTAGGATGCTGCTACTGTGCTCTGTCCGCATGCCTCCTTCTTTTCTGCTGTGGCCTTTCAATTAGTGCAGTGAGATCTTTGCCTCCAGAACGAAGCTGTAATTCCTGGAGTTTCATGGTTACTGTGGCAGGAGCTGCCATCTTCAAGGAGACGAGGATGTCCCTTTGCTTTTCCTGGGTCGCTCATCTCTTCCAGCTTTGTCAGATGTCCTGCCCTGGTGCAGAAGAGCTGCAGGGCAGGACCAAGCCCAAATCAGGGTTGAGCAGAACATGGGGTGGACAGGAGGCTGGTGGCTTTCCTTGGCACTGTTTTAGCGTGTTCATGAATGAGAAAGGTTTGGTCAGTCCATGATGGGAGCTGCTGGTGTCCAGACAGGGAATGGGAGCATGCACAGGGACATTGCTCACCCAGCTCCAAACCCGGGGCTCAGCTGTATGGCTGTACTGCTGGAGTTGGGACATCTCAGCAGTAGCAGTCAGTGCAGAGCCCCTGGCTCCTTGACATCTCTCCATACCTGGCCAGCACCTCAGCCCTGAGCTTTCTCTCCTGCTGCCACGCATGCAGTACAGTTGCATGTCCCGTATCACCTCTAGCTTGGCTGTTTTGCAGCTGGCGAGGAACATTGGCAACGCTGGTTTCAATGGCATCATGGAAGCGAGTCTTTCCAGCTTTTCCCTGAAGCCCGTGGCACACAGTGACATGTGAGTTGCTCTGATGGAGTCGGTGTTTGTGGGCACACTCTGTGGTCCTGCTTGCTCCTCACAGCAGCCAGGCACGTGGCACTGCCCGGCCTCCTTCCCAGGCTGCAACTCCTCTTTGGAATCAGTTTCATCAAGCTCAACAGGACAGATTTAAAAGAGACCGAAGGTGTGAGGAAGAGCCAGCAGGACAAGGGTCAGGATCAAGGAAAAAGGGCTGGAAAGGGGAAAGCAAAAAAAAAAACTGAAAAGCTGGAGCTGCCAAGCAGGACAGCTGTACTTGTGCATATCAGCAGGAAGGAAAGGGTGGGAGGATGGAGGGGACAGAGCAAAGCAACATGTGGGTGCAGTACAGATCACCATAGCTGGGGCTCAGAGCTGGTGAGCTCAGTGTAGGATCAAGCAAGGAAGGAGAGATGGTGAGAAAACGAGTGGTGGGCATCATGACATGCATGGCCAAGTTTCTTGTGACATAAGTGAAGAGAAGACAGCTCTGCGACTTCCAGCCTGTGTTTTTAATTACTGTTGTGGAGACATATCTATTGTTGCATTTGCTATGGATGGAGGCCATAAAATCCTCTTCTGAGATAGCAGATGACTTTTTTGCTAAGGTAGTGCAGAGGTAACAAGAATTGTCTGTTCTCCTGTCTCTGGGTGGTTAGACAAAGGATATCTGGCATGAAGGGACCTGGTGAGGAAGGAGGGAAAGACACATTATTCCTCCTGGGCCCTTTGCACCATGGCTGCAGAAGTAGTAGGAACTAGAAAGCAGCGAGACCATGATTCTCTCATCTGGGAGAGAGCAGAGCTGGCAGCTGTAGAGCTTCTCAGGAGACACGAGCTCTGTTCCTCATCCTGGAGTGGCCCAGCTTCTAGAAGAGCATAGGGGGGAGCTCAGGTGGTGGCTGGTACCAGCAATGGTTGGGGGCTTCTCCAGGACTTAGTGCTGCAAACATTAATTGGGCAGAGCTCTTGGGGGAGTCCTGTAGCCGGGGGGACCATCAGAGTCTGCAGAGGCTCAAGCCAGGGTACTTTACAGGTTTGCAAGTCCCAGTTGGTGCACTTTTTAGGCAGTGCAGATCTACTCTGCAGTGAGCAGACAGGTCAGAGCCTGGCACCAGGGAGCACCAGAGAGCAGGGAGAGCTGGAAAATGCAATTGCAGGAGCAGATCAAGGTTGCCAGGTCCACCCCTGGACCTTTCACCACTGAGAAAACTGAAACCGCGTGAAATAGTATTAATTCAGCTCTTCTGAAATCACCTTTGCTGTGAGAATGTGGTTAGTCCTGGGGCTCCTGCTGCCCACCAGATCCTCTATCTGGTCACTGCTTCTACTCACCTCACACTCTGCAGCTGGAGGGCTTTCTTGGCCAGCCCTCTCCCAGAAGCTGCTGATGATGATCCTTGGGTTCTCCCACCCAGTCATTGTATGGTGTTTCTTCAACATCTCACTGGGGAGCTGAATCCAATACAGAACCCTTCTCTGCCTGGAGAAGAGGTGATGAAGAGTATGGAAGTATCCAGGAGACAGGGAGATGCATTGATGCTTCCCCGTTCCTCCCAGCAAGACCTTGGGGCAACAGAGGAAGGCAGTGGGAGCCCTGCTGGGAACAAGGATGGGAAAGGTGCTGCACTGCCTGGCAGGTCTGCAGGAGAAAAGAGGAAAGCAGCTGGGGCAGCTGGAGAGGAGGGGTGTCCCTGGATGCTTATGGGGTTGCTCTGTGGCCCCTAACTCTTGCTTGGTTCATCTCTGCCAGGGCCTTGCGAAAAGAATTCATCATTTCCAAGTATATTGAGAAGAAATATGCCAAGAGGAGCCCTGCTGCTGAGTGCCCAAGCCTCCCAGAAGCTGTAAAGGGCAAGGACATATTTACTTTGCTCCAAGCTTACGCTGAGAACATGGATTTGAGCAAGCCTGTGCAGGCACACCTGCAGGTATGACACCTGGTGGAAGGCAAGGGACTGTCCTGGCAATGAGAAAGAAGCACCCTCAGTATGGGATGTCTTGGGAAAAATAGGCAGGAGAGGGGCAGATCTGTGTGAAGCAGCAGTTGCACACCCTGAAATGGTGAACTCCATGAAGTTCTGCTGCTGGACTGGGGGAAAAAAAATCACTTTTGGTTACTGTTTCTAAATGTGAAATGGGGGTGAATGATTCTTCATGAAGCCATCACAAATACATGAGGAAGGTGTCAGGTAAAGGGCAGGTGAGAAGATGAGTGGCTAAGCCCCTGAGAAAAAGGAAGAGGCTGTGTGAAGGACAAAGCAGAAGGTGAGGAAAGTACAATTAGAAAAGTTTTCCTTGAGAAACATGGCTCCATGCCTCTACATGTTTCCTAAGCTCTCTCCAGCCTTGGTGGTCATGGCTCTGAAGAGGGACAGATCACACCAGCTCCTGTTCACCTCTTAGGGATGCATAAAGAACAGTTCCCAAAGGACAGAGCTCTTCCCTATTGGTGTCATGGTCCCATCCTGTTGCTGTTTCTGTTCTGTTACAGGAACCCGGGGAGACCATCCTCCACCTGGCAGTGCTGTTGTCTGATCGAACCTCTTTGCATATTGTTGATTTTCTTGTCCAGAACAGGTAAGCTCAAAATATCTGGTCAGCTTGTCACAACCAAGTCAGTGTGAGTGAAGAGTGAAAGAGCAATGGGCTTCTCCAAAATGCTCCCAAGATAAGAAATACCAGAGCAGGCATCCCAGCAAATGTGCCTCGGGGTGGACTTAGGGTGACCATCTCTAGAGCAGAGAGGCCTTGGCTGCCCTCATCACTGGGTTGAGGTGTGATGCTGGTGGTGGCCACCTCCAGTTGAGATGGTTAGGGTGACACGTGGAGCAGCATTTGGCTGGGCCAGCAGCTCTGCTCAGTCTGCTGACAATATCCACCTTCTGCTGCAGCGGGAGCCTGGAAAAGCAGACCATAGTGGGGAACACGCCGCTTCACTACTGCTGCTTTCACAACAAACCTGAGTGCCTCAAACTGCTGCTGAAGGCCAAAGCCAGCATCATCACCAGTGAGTGGCCAGGGGATCCTGGAATTTTCTCCTTTCCCTTCCTCTTCCCTTCCTCTTCACTCTGACTTTGCTGGAGTGATCATCAGGGCTTGCCTGCAGCTGGGGAGGTTCAGGAGAAGCAGGTTAATGATGGTGCTGGGGAAGCCTGCCCATAGAGTGACAGGCACTTAGCTCTTATTTTCAAAACCAGTGGTGCAATGCTGGAGCATGGGCAACAGGCCTGACAAAATGCTGATTCAGAGGCAGTGCATGCTGGTGCTTTGGAGCCCAGGTCATAGGTCTGCTCGTTCATCATGGCTGGGAGCGTGCTCTTCACAACACAGAAGTGAACTTAAAACTGGATTCCTGAGTGACATGGAAGGTCACACATGTTCTCACCATCCAGTGGGAAGGCTGTGCTGAGCCATTCCTTCTTGGGCACTCCTTCAGTATGTTTCCCATAAGGGCAGAGGGACCCTGGTGGGATGGTAGGGACTGAGTACGTGTCCTTGTAGCCACATAGGAGTTGGCTGCCAAATTTCCCACTCCCTCAGCCACGTCAGGCTCAGCAGCACTTGACCCATCTTTACTGACTCTTCGACTCTTCTGGCTACCTGAAGCAACTCAAGGTCTCAGTGCAGGCCCTGTCACTGGTCTGGGGATGCTTTGTGAGCCCTAAGGGTGCAGACTTCTTGCCCCTCCTCAGCCCCAGGATCCCCATAGCTGCGCATCCCTTCTCAGCCCTGTGCTGCAGCTCCATAGACAGGGGCCTAAAATGAATCCAAAATAAAATGAGTGTCATGGTTTGTCTTCTGCCATACCCATACTCACAGGTGTGGGGTGTGCAGACAGTCTGCCATCCACCAGCACATATGTACCAGGTCTGCCCAAAGCTTCTTGCAGTGACTCAGAGGACAAGGGGTGTCAGCTATGGATTCCTCCTCTGCCCGTCAGCTTTGGGTTCTGTAGCATTTAGGTTTTGGCAGTGACTGTATTCTTCTGTCCTTCTCCCCTGTCCCATTTCTGTAAGCCAGCAGGATTTACCCATCTCTCCTTATCTATGTGTCTCATCAGTCTTTCCCCATTCTTTATCTTCCTGCCATTATCAATTTTGACTTGAGCATTTGTTTCAGTCTGTTTAGGCTGTCCCTTCTTTTTCATGTGTTTGTCCCTAGAAGCAGCAGGTAGATCTGATGGGATCTGTAGGATCTGTTGTCTTTAGTGCCATCAGCACCCCTCTCCACCTTTCTGGCATTTATTCTTCCTGCACTGCACATCCTCTTCTCTTTTCCCCTTGACTGTAGCATTTCTGCTGTGAGCCCGCAGGCTCCCCACATGCAGCACTGCTCTTCACTTCCCTGAGCAAGGTTCAAGGCTGCCTTTCCCCTCACAGCTAACCAAGCAGGAGAGACGGCCCTGGACATTGCCAAGAGGACAAGACATCACCAATGTGCAGAACTGGTAAGACACAGTGTCTGTTTTGGGACACATCCTGGCAGGAAAAGGCACTGCACAGATGCCTGGTGCAGGGTTATCCAAATCCTTCAGCATCATCACTGCTGGTGTGGGACACAGAGGAGGGTGCCATGGGGTCTGCTCTGGCCCTGCTGTCGTGGGGTACCTCAGGGCTGGGCAGTTTGGGACAGGTCAGACAGGGGAACCTGAAACTGCACCAAGCCACACAGGGTGAGAGCATCTCCTTGGTGAGTCCAAGCCTTACTTTGGCCATGTCCCACTGTGTGTTTGGACAACTTTGCAAAACTCCTGGCCTGCTGAGCTGGCAGCCTTACATACAGTTTGTTTCCTCCATAACCAAATGGTCTGTCAGAAATGGGGCTGGTGCAGTGGGCAGGGCTGGTGGGTCCTGAGGGGGCTCCTCTGTGCCTCAGCTGCTGCAGGCCCAGAACAATCAGTTCAGCCCTCATGTCCATGTGGAGTACGAGTGGTGGCTGGGCCAGGATGACATGTATGAGAGTGACGATGAGCTGGATGAGAAGGTGAGGATCCTCCGTGGGCTCAGCTCCATGCATACCACCATTGGCCCTTCTCCCACCACACTGGAGTGGGTGCTCCTGTACTGGCTGATCACTCGTATTGGATACTCTAACTTACAAATATTCTTTCCAGCTGGGTCTTATGAAGAGGGGGTCTTCCTGTCCGCAGAGCTGCTCCCAGCCTCCTGCCTCCAGACCAGAAGCAGCAGGGGCAGTGCCTCAGGGGAGGCGGCCAGACACCTATGCCTTGGCACACACCCACCTCCGCAGCCTGGATGTGCCACCAGCCCCCTCCTACCCACCTCCCTTCCCTCCCCATCGGGCGAAGTCAGGTGAGATCCTGCGTGGGCTCATGGGGTGAGCTGCTGGATCTGTACAGCATAGCTCCATCAGCAGAGGATAGGGCACTGATGAGACTTGTCTGGTGCTGTAGGGTAGCCTTCTATGCTCTTCTCCTCAAGGGGAGAAGGCTGACTTGTTTTCCTTAGTCCTGAGCCCTGCATGGTGTACCCTTACTCTTAGTGCCCCTATGCTGGCACTGTTAGGATGCACTGTTAGAATGCACCGTACGCTCCTGAGTGCTGCTGCTGGGACAGGTATGGGAAGGGAAAGCTGCCAGTAGGAAGAGTTCTGTTCCTTGGTCAGACTGCTCCTGCTGCCCTTGCCCAGCCTTTCCATGATGTGTCCCACCTCTGAGAAATGGAGGTCCTCAGTTCCTCAAGCTGTCCTGCTTTCTGGGAGACTTTCTAAGTCCTACCTGACCACCTCTCCCTCTGTCACAGCTGGGTCTCCAACCTTACATGTTTCTCAAGTCAGACCTGCAAGCAGAGAAATAAATATTCTTGTCAATGCACAGTGCCAGTTTTCCCTGGAGTTTTGCTCCTGGGAGGTTTGTGTTCCCTGTTTAGCTCCTGAAAGGATGCGTCCACTTCTGACCAGCTCATCTGTCTTTGCTGAGGACACAAGAACCAGGAGGAGCCCATCCCTGCCTCTGAGCACCAAGCACAAGCGCACATCCTCAGATCCAGCTCCTTGGGTACCACTCAGCCCGGAGAAACCCATCCTTGGTCTGGCTTCAGGTAACAAACAAACTGGGTCAGGATCCAGGCTGTGCTATGGGGATGGGCTGTGCTGGTGGAAGAAGGGCCTACTGGAGGTCTGCAGCTCAGCACCTGCTGAATCAGATTGGCCATGGCTTTGTGCAGCCAAAGTAGACTGGGGGCACCTGGGAGCTGCACATCCCAGCTCCTACCACTGCCAGCTCTGCACTTGCTGCGCAATGTTGCCCAAGAGTGGTGCTTGCTGTTGCCTACCTGTGATTAAAGGAAGGAAGTCGTGACCATCCTGCTTTTGTTGTAGGTGCCCTGATGGCCGCGGACTGCCTCTATGCATCTGTCTCCAGAAAAGCAGGACAACCTGGCCCACACCAATCGTCCTACGAGTCAGATCCAAGTTCTGGAAGTGCCTCAGATGTCCCTCCTCCTCTTCCTCGGAGGAGCAGTTCAGTAGGTTGCTATGGGCTCAGCTCCTGGGCCCATCTGCATTTACCACCTTCAGTTTTGAACTGAGTTGGACCCAGCAGCCCCTCCTCCCAGCCCCACTGCTGCTCCTCCTTGGCACTGACATATCCCCACCAGATGCTGGGAATGCTCTGCATGGAAATGGCAGGTCCCTCCCAGTGCACACCATGCACAGGGATGATCGCTGTTATTTACTGCTAGCCAAAAGCTCTGTCATGCTCCAGTGTCTTTTGAGAGAAACCTCACTTCTGAATTCAGGCCGTTGGCAGGTCAGACAGGGTACACTTCTGGACATGAGCAAGGGTGCAATGTCCTCTCTGGCCCATCCCTCTGCACTGCAGGGACTTCCCTTCTCCCCAGCCCTTTTGTTAGTGGCATCAAGGCACTAAAGCTGTTACATTTGTGCCTGACAAAGCTGGTGACACAAGGGATAGAGGCCTGACAGTGCTCTCTCCTGCTTGCAGAACACACTGCTGTTCCGCAGGGTCCGCGCTCTCTATGACTGCAGTGCTGACCGGGACGATGAGCTGACTTTCCACGCAGGCGAGATCATTGTGGTGTCTGAAAAGGAGGACGACAACTGGTGGGTGAGTGAACCTGGGCACAAACCATGGCACCTGGATGCGCACAGCTCCTCTCTCCATCCACCTCTTGCCCCTGTCCCGCGACTGTTGCAGCCGCTGTTGTCTGCTCTGCTTCCATCTCTCCACCTTTCATTTTCCCTGGGGCACGACCTCTTGCTTACATCTGGCCAAGCTACTCCAATATCTTCAAGTCCTGCATGGACCTCTCACCTGCCTCCAGCTCTGCTGCTTTCCTCTCGCACTGCTTGTGTCCTGGCCATTCCTCTCACCCCATGGCAACTTCCTTGCCCACCCCAACCTGACACTCAGCTATGGCTCATGTTGGCCATTTCTAAGGAAGTCTTCCTTAGATCCTCAGTCCTGGTATGAACCACACAGTGTGAGGAGAAACTTAACAGATTTCTATCCCCTATTGCACACAGCAGCAGTACACCAGGTCTTGCCCAGTTGGCCAGTCGATATCTCCAAAACTGGAACTTCTTTGGGCAGCTGTGATGGCATCTGGTGCCTCAGCAGAGAAAAAAGCCAGCGTGCCATGGTTTCCTTCAGACAATTGCAGACAGCAAACACAGATCTTTATCACCTGCTCATTGAGTTCCCCCAGGAAATCCTTGAAATTTGTTTCCACTGTTTTTCTTATAAACCGTACCTTCTTTGTAATTAGTTTTAGAAATAAGCATTTTTACATGCTGTAAATAAATTAGGAGCTCTAAAGGGGTTCACAACCTCTGAATCTGCCCCTGTTTCCCCAGTGTGCTGCAGGCTGGGGGTAGTACAAGTAAGCCCTGGGTTGTGGGGCAGGACATGGCCCTGAGCCCTGCTCTGATGGCAGGTGAATAATGTTTGCAGGAATAGCAGGTATATAATAAGAATAAAAAGGTATATAATAAGAATAAAAAGAATAGCAGATGTCTTTGTTTGTTGCCAAATAATTCCCATCTAAAAATGACACCTAAATTTTAACCCAAATAAGTTCAGATTCTCCATCCAGCCATCAAATGTGTTTTTATACTGGAGAAGAGTTCTTTCTCCCAGATGTTGATCTGGATGATATGCAGCAGTCAAACCTCCTCTTGAGCTTCTGCTCCGAAAACTTTGTAGAAACCTCTTCTGTAACATCACCTTTCACAGTCTGTATGTTTTCTGTCTCTTCCTTGTCTTTCTGGTGTGCAGATATTGCCCATGCAGGGCACAGCTGCCCCAGTGCCATGTGTGGGTACTCAGTCCCTCTTCTTGCATACTGTTTCTCTGCTCATTCCTCTTTTTCTCCCACTGGCATTCTGCACAGCACTGTGCTCAATCTGCCAGCCGTTGCTCTGACTTGCTCCCAGATGCGATGCTCAAGCAACTGCTCCATCCTCCCTAGGACAAGAGCAGTGCTCCTAGAGAGAGCCTCCAGTGAACAAGCCTGGTCCTTCACATTTCACTCTGGTGGCCTGGAGAGCATCTAGAAATTTTGTCTTCACCAGACTAGCTCTATTTAACAGCCTGGAGCAGTGCTGCATTGTATGACCCTTTGGGCAGCTAGAGATGTGCAGGAACATCCCCTCTGAGGGCGTCCCTGTATGGGAGGTGGTTCATGGAGCTTGGGTTCTGGGATGCATGTCCTGGCCCAGAGCAGGACTATCGGACCAACCAGCAGTGGCTGTAAAAGTACACTTCCTCATTCCCTGTGCCGTGCTCAACACTCCTTTTCTTCTCTTTCTCCCTGCAGAAAGGCTGGATTGAAGGGCAGCCCCACAGGCAAGGCGCCTTCCCTGCTTCCTTCGTTCATGTGCTCAATGAATAGGAGCTGCTTTGATCTGAGAGGGAAGATGTCATCATGTGGAATGTGAAACCCCCAAGCTCCCATCTGCATCCTCACTCCCAGCATCACCTCTCCTCCCCTGGGCCAGTGGTGCTGAGGCCCCAGAGCCCCACACACTGCAGGCCTTGGGGCTGGGGTTCCTGGGTGATGTGTGCTGGCTGCCAGCAGATGCTCAACATACAAAAGAAGAGAATGAGGCAAACTTCAGTGCCCTGCCCTGAGCGTGCTGCCTGTCCTGAGTGTTGTGGAGATGCGCCGCTGCCTTGCAGGGCTGTGGAGCTCTGAGTGGAGCCGTGCTGTTGTGCAGAGCCCAGGGTTGGAGGCTTCTGCTGAGGACAGAGCACAGTGTGAGCCTGGAAAGACAAATGTCTGGTGAAGCCTGCAGAACAGAGTGTTTGTGCCATCCCTGCTGCCTGCACTGGGTTTCACTGCTGGTGCTCCAGAAAACCTGCTCTGTGGCAGCTTAGGGCATGGCTCCAGCAGCACCTGGCTCTAGGAGTGATGGAGAGGAACTCTGAGCCCACTGCCAGTAAATCCCAGGGCTTCGGTGCTTTGTGTTGTGCAGGGCTGTTCTGCTTTGTGTTTCCATCTCCATTTCTCCTTTTTCCTTTTGGCGTTCTTCCTTCAGCGTCCAACATCTTCAGGTGAAATCACTCATGGTTCAGCTTACACAGCTTTTCTCCAGGGCCTGGCACATGTCTCAGTCTTCTTCTCTTCTTCCTGAACCAAAATCCTGTCCAGGTGTCATAAGGAAGCCAAGCACTGGATGCACCAGACTGTAGAGTGGAAGTTGAACCACCCCAGCACGATTTACAGGGTCAAGAGGGCAAGGTTGTGCCTGGCAGCTTCTCCCACCCCCGGTGTTATCAGTCAGATAGGACCTAACCTTTGTACAAGTCGTCAATGCGTATCCTTAGATACAACAAATATGTGCTTTTGCCTCGGTTAGGGTGACCATTCTTGAAGCTGTTAAGGAGCTCTTAATCACTCTGCAAGGACTAAGCTTGTCTTCAAAGATCAGAGCACCTTAAGAAAAGGTAGTTAAGGAAGCTAGCCCGCAGGAAGGGAGATTAGCCCTGTCTTTAACTGACCAGTTGTAGGCTGGACGCTGTATGAGGGTTGTGGTCAAGTGATAAAAGTATGCATTAAAAAGTGTCATGAAATCTTGGAGTGCGGTAGTTTTGTGGGAGAACACCCAGCACTTCCCCAACCTTGCCATAAATCCATACCTGTGTGAGTGAGATCGGCTCACTGCACGGCCCTCAGGGGTCTGCTTTTTGGACAACAGTCCTCTGGAAAGCCAATGGCATGGCCTCACCTCGCCAGGATCCACCTGCTGCAGCAGGGGAGGAGCGGGGGACTGGTCAGACAGCGCACAACACCGGCCTTTTGGCTGGGGACTCCATTGGGTGCTCATCTCTGCTTGGGTGGTGACCCTGAGGACAACGCTTCGATCGAGGTATTGACTTGATGGTGTCAGGGGGAATAAGAGGCTTTGGTTGTTGGGTTTGGTTGTTATGGTTGATGACTGGCCAGCATTTGGTGTCTGCATTTGGTCGTACACATGGCTGCCTAAGAACAGAGTGTATGCAGCCTTGGGGAAAGACTTTTCTGTTGGAAATATAGGGACCAGTATAGGGACCATTCCCTCCTCTGAGATTCTCCCTCATTCACCTCTGGGATCCCTAAAACATTGGGAGACATTGGGTGGGGATCCCTTGACTATTAAAAAACTGAAACATTACTGTGGATAGAAAGGACGATGGGAGAAAAGTGGCTGGAAAGGGGAACCTTGAATTCTAAGACAGTACTTCAATTATTGTTATTTTGTCGCCGTGTAGATAAATGGGATGAAATTCTGTGTGTTAACTTGTTCTTTATGTTCTGAGACGATGCTGCAAGGCTCTGTTCTCTGCCCCAACTTCCCTTTCCTGCAGCAGTCACTGAGTTCTGCAGTGTGTGGGAGTGTCACCTCCTCCCGGCGCTGCTCAGAGTCACTGAGTGGCCCTTATGACAGCTGGGGGAACCAGCATTCCTCCAGCCCCTTTCCCATCTTTGGGGCTGGGGAACACTTGGAGATGTCACTTAGGGCTGAGTGAGGGCAGGGACAGATCTATGGCCACCGCTGCACCTGGTGCTGTGGCTGCAATGCAACCTTGGGCCTGGGCAAGCCCCAGGGGTGCACTGGGGGGCTCTGTGCCTCCGCCTCGGCTGCTGGGAAGGGCACAACCCGCCTCGGTGGGCTCAGTGCTGGAGGCCTTGGGGACGCAGCGTTTGGCAGCCAGCCCAAAGGAAAGCAGCCTCGTTGTTTTCTGAACCGGAGTGACTTTGCTTCCGCCACGCTGGCAGCACTTCGCTCTCACTTCCTTCCCCCAGAGCTCACACTGGTGACATTTTCGTTCTTCCCAGGAGAACTGCTGCAACTGCTGTGGCCGCCCAAGGACCGGCCCAACCTCTTTCACTTCACCCACGTCCCACACCTCGCACCACTGACAGCTGGAGCAGTGGTTCTACTGCTGGACACGTGCAGGTATGTCTGTATAACGGGGGAGACAGATCCACGTCCATCCCAGAGCTGCCTGTAAGAGGTCTGGGGGGAGCATGGGGAACCCCGTGAGGGTGGGAGGGGCTCTGTCCTGCTTTCCCAGTGCAGTGGGGAAACTCCAGTCCCGAGTAGGGATTGTCCCAGCATCCTGCTGTCAGCCTGCCCGGGGCACCAGGCTCTGAGTGCTGAGCACCTTGTGGAGATAACAGAGCTCTTGTTGCTCTGACTTTGGCTGGATGTGAGTGCTTTCAGCTGGCAGACAGGAAGGCCATGCTCAGCTCGGCGTTCTGACAACAGACAGCCAGGCACACACAGACAGACACACAGACAGACACACAGACACATACACGCTGCGGTTCCACCTCCCGGCAGCGACGCGGTGCCCCTGGCAGCCACGGAGCGGAGGCTGCGCAGTGCCTGCGCGGTCGGGAGCGGCGGGGAGGGGGTGTGGAAGGCACGGGAACCGTGGGCTGAAGCGGGGGCCGGAGCAAAGATGCTCCGCAGCTCGCCCATGGGCCGGGTCGCAGCCGCCGCGCTCGCAGCGGGCAGAGCGCGGCACGCAGAGCAGCACGTGCTGCCGGCCCTGCCCTGCCCTGCGCTACTGCGGCGGTGCCGGGAGCAGAGCCGTAGGGCCGCGGAGCTGTTGGGAAGGGAAACCCATGCCGGGCTGTCTCAGGTCTGCGGCGGGGCGGTGCGCAGCGGGGGGGGCAGCGGGCCGTGCAGGGTTCTGCTCTGCCCACGGTGCCACCGCCCTCCTGCTGCAGGTGCTATGAGGGATGCGCTGCCGGAAGCGCACGCTGCTGGGGCTGGCCCTGTGCCTGCCGCTCGGTCTGTGGCTGTTGTTCCGGGCCTCCGTGTCCGGCCTAGGCCTCTCTCCTTCCCTCCCCACCGTCAGCTGCACCGCCAGCTTCAACGCCTCCGCCTGGTTCAGCGCGCGCTACGATGCGGCCGTGGGGCCTCTGCTGAGCGGCCCGGCCCACGAGCTCTCCCCGGACGTGGTTCACTGGTGGCTGGTGAGTGGGGCTTGGATCTCTCCCGGGCTCCTTATGTCTGCCGGCAGCAGGTTTTACGCGCCCGTTGCCCCCCAGCCTTCCCCACCTCACCCGGGCAGGTGAGGGGCTTCGCGCCGCAGGGGCTGACGCTGCCCGTCCTTGCCTGTGCTCCCCCAGACCCTGCAGGGCCCCTCCAGCATCGCCCCGCTCCAGGCCATCATCCGGAAGCTCTTTGCTGTCCTCCCGGCCCCCAATGGCAGCGTGTGGGACCCGTCACGCTGCAGGACGTGTGCCGTGGTGGGCAACTCGGGGCGGCTGAAGGGGTCCCGCCATGGCCCGCAGATCGATGCCCACCACTGGGTGCTGAGGTGGGTGTCACCAAGGGCTCGTGTTCTCTTTTCCCTGCTGGCCGGGGTCACCTGGTGTTCCTGCTTGGCGGCCCGGGGCCCCCGTGGTGTGTGCCTTCATTTTGGGACGTGCCTTCCCGCTGTCCTCTAGGATGAACAGAGCCAAGACAGCGGGCTTTGAGGTGGATGTCGGTGCGAGGACGACCCATCACTTCATGTACCCAGAGAGTGCGATGAACCTCTGGCCTGGTGTCCACCTTGTCCTTGTCCCCTTTAAGCCACTGGATCTCAAGTGGGTGACCAGCGCCTTCTCCACAGGAGAGCTCACACAGTGCGTCACCTCGGCCATCCTGGTGCTCTGGGAACAGCTGCTCTTGTTGGAGAGCTGGGGGGATGGGCTGGGGGACGAAGGGCTCAGAGGGCTCTGGCATCCCACAGCACTGCAATTTGGGGAGTCTGCCCCCACAGGACTTGGGCATCCTGCAGCCCCATACCCTCACAAGTGGGATGGAAGCTGTCCCGGCTGTGCCTCTTTGCAGGGCCAGGCCATGGGACACCACAGGGTCAGCCCAGAGAACTGCGGGTGCTGTGGCAGCAGGTGCTGGTTGTCGCAGCAAACCATCTGCCCCTGAAGGTGCACTCACAGCTGTCCTCTGGCTTTTGCAGCACCTACACAAGAGTGAAGCAGTTCATCAAAGCTGACAGAAACAAGGTAAGGGCTGGGCAGGCATCCAGCAAGCACTCCCTGCCTGAGAATTCAGTGCTGGGGCTGTGGGGCAATGGGGGCCAGGGGCTGAGGGCCACCAGTAACTTGGAGTGGCTGTCAGATGTGGGGTGGCCCTGAAAGCATCCGCAAGGCAATGTGGGAGCTGCTGCAAAGCTCTTCTTGGTCAGACTGGGTTCATTCTGTGGGAAGGCAAGTGGGGTGCAGGCAGAGTTGGGGGACAGTGGTCCACAGTGGTGATAGGAGCTGGCTGTCCTGACTGCAGCTTATCATGCCTCTAACCCCAATCAGGTGCTGATCCTGAGCCCAGCCTTCCTCAAGTACATCCATGAGAACTGGACGGAGCACCATGGCAGGTACCCCTCCACCGGCTTCACAGCGCTGCTCTTCGCCTTGCACGCCTGCCAGCAGGTGAGCACAGCCTGCAGCACCACACACTGCTCAGCCCCGTGGGCACCACCTGGAGCTTGCCACCACTGCTCCACACATGGGGAGGTGGTTTTCCTTGTGGCCATGCAGGATTTCCTTTGCTGCAGTGTCTACCACCCACTGGCATTTTGCCTCCTCTGGCTCCAGCTCCCCTTTCCCTGGTGCATTATCTTGCACTAGATGCAGCATAGTGTGGGTGGGCAGTCATGGCCCTCAGCTGCTGGCCGCCTTCTTGCTGGGGGAACCCAGATGTGGTCAGCCTGGCTGTGTCTCCTCATCCCCACCTGGGCCCTGGTGCTCTGTGCCCATAGGGCTTCTCCTGCCTCGCTCCCCAGATGCAGGACTGCACATGGTGGGTACTCACCTTGGGTCAGCCGACCGCCTGTGCAGTGATGGCTCTGCTGGCATGCCACAGGTCTCCGTGTTTGGCTTTGGAGCTGACAGCAAAGGGAACTGGCATCACTACTGGGAAGAAAACCGCTGGTCTGGAGCCTTCCGCAGAACAAGGGTCCATGATGCTGATGTCGAATTCAGCCTCATCCAGAGACTGGCAGCTGAAGGCAGAATATTGTTCTATTAGTGACACGCACTCAAGAAACGAGGCCAAGCCGTTAGCACAAGAACCGGCGGCTGCAGCAGCTCTTTAGCTTGCTTCTGCCCCTCGCTGGCTGGGGCAGCCTACGCTTGGTGTGTGCTGTGCTGGTCCCACCAGCTCAGCACGGCAGACAGCAGTGAGCATGAATGGCAGTAGAGCTCTGCTAAGCCTGAGAGATTCCTGCTGCAGGTCTTGGTCTTCTCCAGAGAGGACACAGAGGGGCAGGAGGGGGGCAAACCCCGTGCTTTCAGAGCCCTCAGTTCAGGTGCTACACAGCAGAGCGGCTGTAACTGGACGGTGCGCACACAGCCAGCTGCCAGTGCAGCTCTCAGGGGATGGAGCTGAGATGTCCACCCTCTGATGGCACAGGGGGAGGTTCTTTGGGCAGGCGGAGAGTCTTAACAGAACTGAGGAATATATTTTTATATTGCACCAAAGGAGAGTAAGGAACGAGAAAATGAAGCGCGCGAAGTCCGAACGCAGCAGCAATGAGTACAGCTGAAATGACATGTTGAATAAACTTTGAAGGTCTACTGCTAACGTTTGTTTTACTTTCTGAGCTCTTGCTGCTCTGCACGGCTGATCGCAGACCCTGACGCCCTCCTGACCAGGGATGGGAGCCATCACCGCCCCACACCTCATTTGTTTTGCTGGTGCTGGTTGTTTAGCAAGCATGTTGCAAAATTCAAAAGCTGCAGCCAGTCCAAGCGGATGCTACCAAAGCAGTTGCAAAGGCAGCAGGTTTTCAGATGTTTTCTGAGGAACATGCCAAGCATGGGGCTGCTCAGAGCCCTGCTCCTTCATCTGTGCCGCAGAGCGCAATGACCAAGAGAGCAGCTGCTTGTTTCCTTTCAGTCCCAAACACCACTGTCCTTGAATCAGATCCAGCTTTTCCACGTCTGAATCATACTGATCACGTGGAAAAGCACCAGATCAGTCACAAGCTCCCATTTTAACTGCAGGAAGACATTACCACTCCCTAAGCTACTAACTTCATCTGATTCCTGCCTCTCCAGGCAGAATCCCCACTTCTGTACCTGTTTTCTGTTTCTCTTTTCCGGAGCCTTCAGCAATTTCTATGCAGTTGTTCCAGTATTCCAGCATGGAGATTCATCACACACCTTATCCACACATCCAACTGCACCCAGGTTTTTGTATGATCTGTTTCGAAGCTCTCTTTAACTAATTAAAAACAAGCTTCTGCTTACAAATTGATGGCATTTATCCTAAAGTTCTACCTTAGTTTAAAGCTTTCCCCCTGCATCATTTGATCCTGTGCCTGCTGTGCTCACACTGCACTGTGAACTGTGCCAGTCACTAAGTGCAGAGTAAACACCAAAGCCAATTCAGAGCCGAGATTAAGAGCACCGAGTCTGTGTTCCCTCAAACTGAGGCAGGAATCTGTAATTTTTAATTTCTCCCTTATTTTCAAGCTCCTCTCAGAATGATTTCACACACTCTTTACTCGCTTGTGTAGGTCACAATCAAGAAAGAACAGAATTCACCATTATTGCCACGCTTTGCCACAATGCAGGTAGTTTTTATTATAATTTCCAATTCAGGATTGGCTCAAATAATTTAATGATTCTTCCAAATGCCTTACCAAAACACACAGGATGGACTGCATTACAAAACAGAGACAGAGGGGAAGTGAAAAACACAATCCAATTTAAAAATCAGTTAAAATTCCAAGCTTTTTTTTTCTTTTCTCATCCATATGTCAGCTTGCATCTCTGCTAGGCAGAGCAATCTGAGCCAAACGCGGGACCACACGGGACAGAAGCACACCCTGAACGCCACGTCCCTCCCCACCACCCTGGGCAGCTGGAAGGGAAGCACACAGCACTCGGCACATTTTCACAGAGGTCTGGCACACAGCATCAGCACATTCCGAAATATCTGTGGGAGCAATTAGAAAAAAAAAGACAGATGGTGTTGTCAGAAAGGTTTCTGATGACAAATTCGATCCATTGCAGATCTGACAACACAGCACGTTATTCCTCAAGTATCTCCAGCAGCTTTTCCAGGGGGCAAACTGGATGAAGACGGACTGACACAAAAGGGTTTTTCAGTAGGGTCTGCACAGCCAGACGAGATGGCTAAAGTCACGTCACAGCAGCAAGGTTTGAGCAGTTCCATCCACAAATCAATGCCAAACAACGGATGGTGAGACATGAAGAGCAGTTGGGGCCACCTGGTAATCCCAAACCTCACGTGCACTTGGAGGATCACACGTATTTTGTAAAACCTGTTTAGTTCTCCTTACAGTTTTTTGTCTGTGTGCGGTGAGGTCATTGTTTATATTGTCTTCCCAAGCTCAATTTTCTTCTGGATGGCACGTGCTGAGTGATAAATCAGGGAGTCGATGAATCCTGCAACTAGAAGGAAAAACGAGATCGAGCCAAACGAGCCCCAAATACAGAGATCTCCCACAGCAAGAAAAGCCAAATCCTTCTGTCAGCAGCAGGAATTCCAGCTCCCTCTGACAGAAAGCAGCTGCTGCTCAGAAGACCCACATCCACATCTCATTAGGAGAGATGAGATGCAGCCTGCAGGGCAGAGGTGGCCGTGGTTATCTGAAAGCCATGTCTCAAAGAAGAAAAGATGAGACAAAGACGAGCCACGTTTGCTGGCAGGTGAGTGAGGAAGGTCTGGAGAGGAAGCTGATGCTGAGAGCTTTGTGCCATTCTACTGCCCTGACCAGCTGGCCAAGGGAATGCTTTCCTTTTGCTATTTCACAGCAACCTCCAAAGCAAGCTGTTCTACCTGAGAAAACACATGCTGCCCTTCATGGACACCCTTTGTAGGAGACGGCAGCAGTTTACCCCAAATCTCTCCCACCAGTACACTGAAGGGACCTATTAACTGTGCTTGTTTGGGAGCAGAGAAAAGCTCAGAGTGGGTCTTCTGCACCACAGAATCCAGACTACCCTGCATCTGTCACAGTGGCTTCCACAACCAGGCACCCTGTCTACTCCCTCCCTTCTACCTGAGAGAACACGGAGCCAGTAAACAAAGATATTTTCAATGCCTTTGTGAAGCTTAATGTTCCCGGGGAGTTTTATTTATTCAGCACTTCCAATCTAAGAAATAAGTGGTTACTTGGCCCTACATAAACAGACATTTTAATACTGGAGTAGCAGTAGATAGGAATAGTGGACAGGAATTGATTACTCTTCCAATCTTGCTATCTGATCTTTCAGTAACACCCTGATGACTATCTTCTGCCCTGAAAATACTTGTGAAACCAATCTGCTGCTGTGACAAAGACGCTGTCAGGCAGCTGATTTGATCTGTCCTCCAGCATACAGTCTGACCACAGTGTATGGCAGCAGACAGCACGAAGTGCTTGTTAGCCCCAGTCACTGACAGAGGAAACTTGGATTTGTCACAGTGATTTTTAAAAGCCTTTGCCTGAGTGAGGCATGAAAACGATCATGATCAAATAAACGTGCTGCAGACAAATCCTGTTTAACAGACAGCAACCTCAGTATCAGGTTATCCAAGTGTGATGTAGCAGACACAGGTGCTATGGAATGCAGGGATACGATACAGAGTGGCTGGACTCCTACAGTGCTTCCAGCACAGCAAGATCTGCTGCCCTCATCTCCATGAGAATGACTCCAAGTGTTTCAGGGCACCCTGGGTTATCAGCTGGACCAAGGCTGGGCTCTGTCATGTGCATGGAACTGAGTAAATGCTATTCCAGAAGCCAACACCGATGGCAAAGTCCAGAGATGCAAACAGTTCCGCATGAGCAGCCTCTCCTCAGGGAACGCAGAAGCTGTGAGGGCCTCTTTTGGGCCCTGCAGAGCATTCACTGGAGCTCCTGTGTCTGGGAACACAGGTGGTGAACTCTGAGATGGCTCTGCCCGTGGGGACCTCATTTCAGAGATGTTATGGACTTCAGGTCAGCATGAAAGAAACTACCTGCTTCCAGAATCAATCTGGCCAGGAAAACGGCACAGATACATTTAAATGGCAAATGAAAGAATACATTATTTGAAAACAAAATGTCTCCCAGAGCATCAAAATGAAATACTCCCACAGCTCTGCAGAACATCTGTATTGCCTCCTGAAGGCTGAAGTCACCCTTCCCCAGCAAAAGGGGATTTATAACCAGCTACACAGAGTTAAGAAAGAATAAGATGTCAAATGATCAGAGAGAAAAAGGATTTAAAGATGCAGTACCTGTGAATATGCCACCAACAATGGCACAAACTCCTGTGAGGAAGTGTGTGAAGGGCCTGGAATGAGGAAAACAATTTAAGAAACCATCATCAGTTCTGATACCAGTATGACAGATAAGTAACCATCAATACAAACAAACTCATAATTAACATTATGTTAATCATATTACATAAGTATGCATTATATAAGCATTAATAACTGACAACAGATTTAACAACTGAACAACCCCTGTCGGCTACAGGATGGAGTTCATCACTGAAATGTTACTGAGAAGCACCACTGCATTCAGTGCATTTAAATGAGCTCAGTGGCAACCCAAGGAGGCACATACTGAACTTACAAACCCCAAAGACTGGGCTTCTCATCCCTAAGATTTCAGCCTCTTCTGCTCAGCAGAATGCACATCAGGCTGCTGTACAAGAAAATCCCTAAACACATACTGACACACTACAAGGCATAGAAAAAGCTGTGCCTCATTATGATCCCAAAAGACTGGGTAGCTACAATCCCTTCTGTTTCCCTGTAATTGCAAGCCTGTGATTAAATGAGAGCCTGGAAGGAACAGGTTCCATGCTGACTACAACGTGCAAAAAAGCTACTGCAAATGCAAAGTGAATAGGCTGGATCAAAGTGGGTGGCTCTATAGGTGCTGGTGAGATGTTCCAGGACAGTGAAAATGGTAAGTTGCATCTGTATCTGTTCACCATGTTGGCTTTCCTCTATAAAATCAGACTTCCTATTAAAAAAGACTTTGAGGAAATCAGACTGAACTGAATGCCACCATACCAGACTTCCACACTTCTCCATCCTGATACTGCATCAAACCCTTCCAGGTAGTATGAGACAACCCCAGATCCCATCCCTGTCAGATGTTCACAGTGAAAGGAACTGTATCTGGGAGAGTCCCATTCCCTCTGCTGGTTGTGGAGGGGTCTGGCTGACTCTCAGGCATCTGCAGCTATGTTTTAAGCTATGTGAAATGACAAAAATCAATGCAAGAGGAATGAAATACACTGAAATGATTCTTACCTGTGTTTTTCTGTCAGCTTCACCATCATGGGTGATAGTTCATACAGCACAAACACACCAGGCAGACCCTGGTCTCCTATCAGCCCGTTGGCTATTTTCTCGTGTCGTGTAACTGAAAACTGGTTTGTCCTTACCACCTGGAGGAAACATAAGCAGTTAGCATCACTTTGTTAACAGGGAATATGGAAGGCTACTCAAAACATGAGTTCAGTGAACCACATCACTGTTGCTGTGGGCCCCTCTCTTGTGGGCTCATGACAGTAGTCACAGTTGCAAGAGTCATAATCAGCACCAGCAGAATTAGATCTAATTTTACTATTATTTACTGATTTGTTTCCTACTGACTGATATTGGTTAAAGTCACACTTAAACGAACAAGGTAAAAGATGAACTGTGCATCAGTCCTTAGGCCAGATGCTTTGCTCTGTGCTGGCAGGTAATTGCCGTAAGATGACTTCCTAAACTTCAACCCAAAGGCCACATCAGCCTCTGCTGATTTGCTAAACCTAAGCAAACTTCAGGAAGCTGCACTGATGTACAGTCTGAGGATAAGTCAGATTCCTGCAGTGCTGGCCTCCTTGAGCTCCAAAGCCCACTGGCCGAGCTTTCTACCTCCTACTGTCTCTTCCAGTTTCAAGTCCACGAACACCATAACAGCCCCCTTCTGAGGTCCTTTAAGAGCTAACACATGAGCTCCCACACGACACAACAATAAATTATCTCCCCATATGTAGCGTCAGGAGACAACTCTGAATGCTGAGAGGCTGGCCATCAGCAGCTGAATTTCCGTGGAAATAGATGGAAATGAATATTCAGATACTGCTCTGTGAATCATAAATGGAATATGGGAAGAACATCACAAAATCTGAGTTTGAGAAGGCTGTATACATTGAAGAGTGAGAGAAAAAAATAAAAGAAAGAATATATAAACAAAGGAAAGCTTCAGGAGTTGCAGAAGAACAAAGATGGCTCATCAAAAATGACCTCAAGATATTTTCCTGTGCTCTGTGATTCTTAGACAGGTTTTTC